TCATACTTAATTCAACATCTCAATCTGACACTCTGTTGAAGTCAAAAATAGTTCAGTGGCACAAACTAGATGTTAGTCAAGGAAAGATTTATATCGGACCTCTTTATATTTCAATGCGGCCACGTTGGTAGCATTGAAGAGGAAGATGGAAGAGGAGAGAACTCTCCTCTCTCTCGTTCAAGGTAGAAAAGAGCTCAAAATTGGAACCCTCTCTTTTCTCATTTGCAGAACGTATCAGCGTGTTTGATTTCAACATCAAAAAACGCGACTTTGAGTGGCACCACATGGCAATAACATGAATGACCCGAAAACCCATGTAGCGTAGTAATGACCTGGAATGACGTTATCCCTAATAACACAATAACATCTGTAAGACGTCGTAGAAACATCCATATGGTATGATAGGAACATCTTTGAAAAATCCCTATTTTCCTTGGGACATTCTTGGGATGTTGCTGGCAACACCCGTGTCAGCATTTGCGATGTCTTATAAACATCCCATCAGAATGTTTGTGGGATGATACGGGATCACGATACGGGATGTACCAGAGACATTCAGGGTACTTGATATGGAACATCTTGAAGGAACTTCTAGGATGTTTTTGATCGATAACAGTAATGGATGACACGGTATGAATTATTTTCAATCTGAAATCCTGAAAATGGACGACCTTTTTCCAGATATGAAGTAACAATCCGAATCCTGAAATATAAGGTCGGTGCGGTCCAATAACTAATGGAAGATGATAACAGTTATTTGAGGCTCATATTTGTTGGCGCTGGGCCGACGGCTGTTAGTAACTCTTAGCAACGTAGTTGTACCGCCATCTATCGGCTGGAATAACAAATGAATTCAGCAATCAATATGCTGGAGAGATATAATTATTATTTCAATTTTGTCGTTCATTATATGGTTCATGATGTTAAACAGGTACTTTGGTTATCCTATTGAGGAATATTTAGTATAATTATTTCAATTTGTTATCGATGAAATTAGCCGGCTTTGGTATAGGTATAAGTATATGAGTACGAATACAGTTTTGATTTCCATTTTTTACAAACTCTTCAATGTTTTAAATGTCACAATTGTTTGAACTATTCAAGCATGTCAATCATCATAAGCGAATATGGAACCATGATATTGTTTATAAAAAAAGATCAAATGGAATGTTTTCAGAACATCCAATGAAAACATCTGATGGATGTCCCAAGAAAAACATCTCTGGGATATCGTACCCAAGTCTGAAACATTGGGACATTTGTAGGACCTTAGCGGGATGTACCAGCAAGATCCCGTGTTGTTAGGGATATTGACGTCTATTTTACGTCATTTCTGGTCCACGACATCTTTTGGCCAGAATATGACCTAGAAATGACGTCAAATTGAATGACGTCTTATTGACGTTTAATACTGAAGGTCTCAATGATGTTCCTACAAAGTCGTATATACAGGGTGTCCGGGACTTATGCGCAAAAAATCAAGGGGGTTATTCTACATGATGAAATAAGAAATTCAGTTGATATGTACATGGGTCAGGAAACGCATAGTTTTCAAGATACAGTGTGTTGAAACTTTTAAAAAATATCGTTTTGTTATGAATATCTCAAATGTCCTTCCACCGATTTTCTGGAAATTTGGCAATGATATTTTTTGTCATGAGGGGCTGAAATATTCATAATTCAATTGAAATTTTTTGAAATTTGGTATTTCTCTGATTTCTCATCGGAATTCCTTCTGCAATAGGAGCTAATAGAAATACATGTGAAATTTCTCAAATAATGCAAGAAGATTAGATTCATGCAATCAGTCGGAAGGACTGGTCTGACATGTTGACGATCGTGTGTGTTGTAGACATTTTCAATCTATAAGCAGTATTTCAGCTTGTATTGCAGAAGTGGCAGAAAGCAGGAGGAATTTTAATAAGGAATGACAAAATTTCATAATGATAACTATGTGAGATTACTATATACCTAAAAAAATCATATTCCTTCGTTTCTCGCTGCATTTTTTGTGCATTGTACAACAGCACAATGCGAAGGCATGCTTGAATTAATGAATAGCGCAAGAAACACGATTCATATGCCAAAATATTGTGAAAAACTATTTCAATCCTCTGATTACTCGGTAAACAAATAAAAAAGTGAGGTTGTGTTTTGATAATCCACAGAAGAGTGAGGTTGTGTTTCAATATTTTGCCTCCAGGGTCGGTCATCGTGCACGCGACCTATATGTAGGTCTCCTGAATTGTTTTGACGACTTTCTTCATTTCCATGGGAAAAAATAAATATCAATTTATTGCATGAATTTGTGCCAAAAACTTCCTTCAAAAACTGGGATGAAAATAAATGCGTGATCAATGTCTATAGACATAGAACAAGTATAAAGATTCATTTTCTTCAACTATTTGTTGATACATGTTTGACGCACACTCTGTGTATCGGGAACTATGTATTCTTTATCCAGAAACGTGTAGTTTTCGAGAATACAATGTGTGTCAAACATGTATTATAAAATATTTGAAAAAAATGGTTCTTGATTCTCATTCTACGTCAATGGACATGGATCACACATTTGATTTCACCCCCGTTTTTGAAGCAATGTTTTGCACAAATTTATACAATGAATTGCAACACAATCCAAGGAACCAAAATGTTGCATTTTTAGTTGATCATTAGGATATGAAGATAGAGAATTTAAAAAAATCAGTGGCACATTTTATTGACAATAATATTCGGTAGGATGCCCCCGGGACGCCACTGGATTTCACAATTCCAATTCAATTATGGTTAAATCAACCCCTCATGACGAATGACGAATATCAGCGCCAAATTTCAAGACAATCGGTGGAAGGATATTTGAGATATTTATAAAAAACCGTTTTTTTTTTAAGTTTAACACACTGTATCTTGAAAGCTATGCATTTCCGGACCCACGAATACATATATGTAATGAATTTCATGTTTTCTCATGCAGAATCAACCCCTTGATTCTTAGCGTATATTCACCGGACATCCTGTATATTATTTTTTATCGCTCGGTGCGCACGAAAGGGAATTCCTATGATGTTCAAAGAACACCGTGCGAGTGGATAGGGATAGGTGTGTGAATTTTCTTCGAACTTTTGGAGATTATTAGCTCTTGGAAATACTTCCTCAGGCAATGAATTCCAGAGCTTCCTCGTTCTATAGGAGAACAAGCTTTGATGTAGTGATGTTCGACATATTTCGAGGTTGACAACGAAATAATGTGCTGACTGCGCCTGTCGAGTTCGTCTGCCTGGTATTGCTAGTCGTGGAATGATAGCAGAGATTCCAGAAGAAAATTTGCTGTGGAAGTATTTATAGAAGAGTAGAAGGTGGCCGACCTTCCTACGGTTTTCCAATGATGTCAAAGTATGAGTGAGTGTGTCATCACCCACCAGGCGAATGACTCTTTCCTGGATGGAATCTAAGAGCATCAGAGTATGTTTGAGTACTGAATCCCATATGTGAGAACCGTAGTCCAGAACTGGTCTTATCTGTGCTTTGTAAATCATGAGGAACTGTTGAGGTATGAAATAGCTTTCGCGATGAATCTGACATGATCATTTCATGAAAGAGTATTGTTAATGGAGACACCGAGCATAGATAAAGTAGACTTGGTGGATATGTGGGTATCAGACATTGTTATATCAGGCATACTGAGTTTCGCCTTTCTGGAGAAAATACAGGCTTGAGTTTTCGCGGCGTTGAATTCAACTAGGTTGTTGGTTCCCCAGGCTGTGATCACAGCAAGAGCCTTTGCGGTGCATTCTCAGTTTCCTAGGAAGAAGTGGGAATTTTGGGACAGAACGCAGTATAGAAGGTACTATCATCTGCAGAACTGTGAATAGAGCAAGTGGTTGCTTTCAACAGATCATTGATATGGAGTAGGAACAATGTGCCAAAATTGATCCCTGTGAAACGCACGGATTGATGGCAATGTTATCAGACGATACACTGTCCACCACTAATAAGAGATGGCATAGCTGAGGTGGTGAGCCGTATGATGGTAATTCGTGGAGCAGTCCTTGGTGCCAAACGAAAAATCTCTCAACGTTGTTTTGTAGTGGTTAAGAAGTGGCAATGAGAAAGTGTGAGTGTGTTTCGTTTTTCTATATCTCTTTAAATATCGTCAGGACAAAATAAGAACGATCATCTCGATAGACATTCTAATCTTGGACACGGTTTATATACAAAAATATCAGTATTGGTGCAGATTGTTGTATCAAGTCATCGAAAGCTAGGAGGTGCCGAATTTATTTATTTAAAAAAAAAGTATTTGTGATGATTCGAAATAACAAATGATTGCATTAAATTCTATCAATACACGACCTGATCAACGAAAAATATAATTGTGTCGTGAATTCAACTATTCTGAACACTCCCATTGGCCCCATAGATAGAACGCCCCAATTCAGGAATAATTTGTCTTGAGACGCTTGGTAATCGAGACAAAAAAAGAGTTTTTTTTCAATGAGTATGAAACCACGCTCTGAGTATCTGTGATTCAATACATTGTGGTATTTTTCAGCTGATAGCAATACCACTATTACCAGTAGGGTCGTCAGGACAATATCAATGATCTTTGTATTACCACTAGAACAGGAGATAATGAAAAATCCTCAGATTGTTTTTCATGTACAAGAATTAACCCGGATTGTTTGGTTAACTTCGAGGAAAGATGGCTATATCCGAAGAGCACACTGTTTTCGAGTGACTACTTAAAAACCAAATTTGATCACTTATAGTTAGGCGATGGTTTAGGTGATAACCCATACGAAATGTTTATGAAAATAACTCCAAGTTTCGTCTGAACTTCAACGCCTTGTATCTCGGAAGAAACTTCTTACAACTAATATTCATGAAAAAATTTTGTAAGCAAATAAGACTGTCACTATGAAGTGAACCTCCCTGTACAATCGAACTGCAGACGATGTTGTAATGCGAATATTACGATTTGATGTGATTTATTGTTCCAGGAAAAAGAACATCGAGCATTCACAATAAAACCAATTCCGACAACGAATGTTTCACCTGTAATAGTTTTTATCAACCCCAAATCTGGTGGCAACCAAGGCCTGAAATTACTACAGAAATTCCAGTGGCTGCTCAATCCGAGGCAGGTATGTATTTTTGAGGGGTTGGGTATTAATCGATATACATGCTCTACCTTTTTCCCTGAATCTTCCATGGGATTTTCTTGTAATTTCATTGCAATACCACGATTTTTTGTTCAAATTTCCATTTTGACTGTCGATTTCGTCACACCTATTGAGGGTTCAACCATCCGACACAATTTTCACATGCTCTTTTATGAATTTTGTATGTTTCTGGAAGGAGTTCCTTCTCAAGTATCTGACCTAACACAGAGCGGCCCCACTTTATCCTCCAGCTGTTCAAGAAGGTACTCATCATATGCGTGCTAACATATAACACTACAGTCCCAGTAGCCAACACAATTCGGATAGGTTCTCATGCATTTTCGTGAAACTTTTGTATTAGACGTCTTTTCTCAGGTGTTTGGTCTCACAACAACAACAATTCCACGATGGGTGGCTCTCGCTTTGGTCTCTAGACTGTTAGGAAGATGGTCAATATTTCAGATGCCACGGCAAATAAACAAGAGAATCACGTTCGAACAATCCGACTCAATCCTCATAGCTTCTCATATGAACATTTGATACGTTTCTATAAGAAATTCATCAGCGAATGCGTTCGACCTAATTCTGGACGATTTTCTGTCTGGTGTCTTCAGCAGTTCAAGCAGACGCTCTATTTAGATTGCCACATTGATTTTATACGAAATAACGGTTCTACTGTCTAGCTCAATTCTCATACTTTCTCATATAGAATTTTTGAATGGTTCTATAAGACATATTCTTGACTTAGGTGTTCGACCCAACCCAAGGCAGCTACCACTCGGGCCTCGAGCTGTTCAAAAAGGTGCCGAGCCTGCGTTCAACGACGGCATCAGCGTCATATAAATGTTCTAAGAGAGAGAGATTTATTCTCGAGAGAGTTCGACCCAGCCATGGACCATTCAACTGTGCTTCTTGATTCTCACATGTTCTATGAATTTTTCATATGATTCTAAAAGAAGTACCTCCTTAGGTGTTTTACCTAATCCAGAGCGCTTTCTTCTAGGGCTTCGATCTAATCAAGAAAACGCCCAACATCTTGAATCATAAAGAATCTACGAAGAAATATGTTTTCACAATTGGACTGAATTCTGTTAGGGATCCAATAATTATGATCTTTTCATATGTGTCTACAAGAAATCTACAAGAATTTACGATTGTTTTTTCCGGCTCTTTTTTCTGAAGTTCTGATCTGGGTGTTCTATACGTTTCCATGAGTTATTCCTCCCCGAATATGTTTGACCGATAAATTCCTCATAGCTGTTTGACCTGCACTAGGGCTCGCTTCGGCCTAGAGCTATCGAAGAAGATGGCCAACATGATGAATGCCACGGTACTTTCATGAGAGGTTACGATTTTACTATCTACCTCAATTTTTATATTTTCTCATGTAATATGTCCATACGTTTCAATGAGACGATATTTCTCAGATTTTGGACCAGACCCTAGGCGTCGTCGAATTGTTTAGGAAGATCGTCATTTTTCTGAATGCCATGGCAAATCTACAAAGACCTACGGCTGCACAATCCGACTAAATTCTCATAGCTTCTGATGAAAATCATTAATACGTTTCAACAAGAGAACTACAAAAAATTGAAGTTGCAGTATCCGACCCGATTCTGTTGGTTGTCATTTGAATGTTCTATTTATTTCTATGAGGAATCTCTGCTATTCATTCAATTACTATGCCGTCTCTATTGGGAATCACGGTTTGAGTGACCAAATCGAACTATATGTCCTCATAGACGATTTTCATACGTTTCTATAAAAAGTTTCTCCTCGGGTGTTTTACCTGACGCTTGGCAAGCAAGAGCCGCTTTGGCCTTGAGCTATCCAAGAATACGCCCAACCTGATCAATACCTCGGTACTTCCATTAGGAAATGCACAGTCATTATCTAGCCCAATTCTTATAGTTTCTCTTTGAATTTTTAAAACGTTTTCGTGCGATGGCCTCAACGTGTGCCTGTGAGTTTTTATGAGAAATTTATTCTTGAATGTGTTCGACCTGACCATGGACAGTTCAATTATACGCCTTGATTCTTAGATGTTCTTCTATGAATGTCCAGAGTCGTTCAGAGGATTCACATGGAATTACAGTTGAACAATCCAACTCAAGTTTCATAGCTTCCCTTATCCACTTTTCATAATTTTGTACAAAGAATCTATAAAGGGTTGAGGTAACACAATTCGAGTCAATCCGCATAGATTCTCTTATTAAGGTTCTATACGTTCCTAGGGAAAATTCATCTCCAAATGTGTTCGACACAACCATGGAAGGTTTCACTATCCGACTCAATTCTCATTCGTTCTCATATAAGACAGCCGCCAGCGTCACCGACGGCATCGGCATCATATGAATGTTCTATGAGTTTCTATAAGAAATTGAATCTTGAATGTCTTCGACCCAACCATGGACAGTTCAACTGTCCGACTCGATTGTCACATGTTCTATGAATTTCTCTAGGTTTTCAAGAGAAGGTTCTTCTTAGGTGTTTTACATGACGCTAGATGGCTCTTGCTTTGGCCTCGGGCTATCCAAGGAGACACACAACATGATGAATACCACGGAACATTCATAAGGAAATGCAGTGTCATTATCTAGCTCAATTCGAATAGAAGATATTTCATCAAATTTTCTGAACGTTTAAGTGAGACGTTCATATTTATGTGAACGACCAGACCCTGAGTGGCATCAACCTGTGTCTAGAGTTCTTCAGACAGACGCTCGTTATTTCTGATTCGACTCAACCAAGGACACCTTCGCTCTGGAATCTCTAGCAGTTCAAGATAACGTCCAATATTGTATTATCTGCTGCTTCTATAACAAATCACGGCTGGACTGTAAAACTATACATTTCTATAAGAAGTTTGTCTTCAGGTGTTTCACTTGACGCTGGGGGGATCTTGCCTTAGCATCGAGTTGTCCGAGAAGACACCCAACCTATTGAATATCACGGTACCTTTATGAGGAAACGCAATCTTGCTCAATTCTTATAGATTCTCATGAAATTTGTTGAACGTTTTAGTGAAATGTTCCTATTCAGGTGTACGACCAGACCCTGAGCGGCTTCAAGTTGTTCAGAAAGACTACAACGACTTGAAGGCGCACAATCCGACACAGCTCTTATAGGTTCTCATATAGAGTTTTTATACGTGTCTATGAGATATTCATCTTCAGATGTGTTCGACACATAACCATGGAAGGTTCAACTATCCGACTAAATCCTCATACGTTCTCATATAATATATTTCATGCGTTTCTATGAGAAATCCTTCACTTAGGTGTTCGACCTGACCCAGGGCGGCCCCCGCTCGGGCCTCGAGCTGTTCAAGAAGGTGCCGAACCTGCGCGTGCTGGCGTGTGGCGGCGACGGCACCGTCGGCTGGGTGCTCAGCGTCATCGACAACATCGGCGTTGCGCCCGCCCCCGCGGTGGGGGTGCTGCCCCTCGGCACGGGCAACGATCTGGCGCGAGCGCTCGGATGGGGCGGGGTGAGTACTCTGAACATACAGTGTGACCCACTTCTAATGGAAACACCCCTGTATGTTACGTAATCGTTGGGTAAGGATCCTGAAATTGATCCTGAATCTATCATCCAGTATGGCATTATTGGTTGAGAGGGCGTCCTGAAGTGTCATCTAAAAGCACTAGAAATCCTTCAAGAATGGTTCATCAAAATTATTTTACGCCAACCTAAAACTTACCAGGGTGAAATGCTTTATTCTGAATCCAGGTTATTACCGATTGCTCAATATCATACCGGATGACCTGAGAAGAATCAATTCGGAAATACTTTTCAAAAACAAATTGAAAATATGGATCCTCGGCGCCAACAAAACTATATTTATGAATATTTGAATATTAAGGATCGATGATCCGATTTACGCCCTATTCACACTTCACAGTCAATTCTACCTGCGCATTCATATTTATAATTCCTATGTTTACTATAGGTCTGTGATATATTGTGTCATGCTCGTGTCTGATTAGATTTTATTTAATTTTTGTTCCTCACTTTATGTGTTGTTATAGTTGGCATAAATTAAAACAAATTTCTCAAATTATTTTTGATATTATACTTCCACTCCATTGTTACAATTGTATTGTATCATATTGTATTGTATTTTTATCATATTGATTGTTTCTTATATGTCACCAAAATTGCATCCTTATTCTCAATGCATTTGAACAAAGAAAAAGCGATACTCACAGACAAGTTCTTTAGTGAACTGAAATGAGTTCCTCACTTCATCAACTTCTTTTGTAAATGTATATTTTGGAATTCGCCTCGTTTCTCAATGAAAAAATATTTGTTACTTCGATACATTTGAACCTAGTGAGCGCAAATTTGATGAAACTGATCTGAAAGCTACTCTCTTACCTCTAACGCGAGTCAGTTTCTAAATATTCCTCGAGATAATTAATTGCTCTCATTATTGACTAGTAATAATCTCCTATTGTTTCAAAATCGTTCTCTCATTATGACAATTCTATGTTTGAATATTCTAGGGATACACCGACGAACCTATTTCGAAGATCCTGTCAAACATCAGCCAGAGCGACATCGTGTACTTGGATAGATGGTCCTTGGAAGTGGAGAAGAATACAGACACCAACGCCAAGAATGATGGCGGCAAACAGAACCTACCTCTGAACGTCGTCAACAACTATTATTCATTGGGAGTAGACGCTCATATTGCTCTCGAATTTCACGAAGCGAGAGGTTTGTACAGATACAGATCACCCAAGATTGAATCCTCACAATTTTGTATTTTGTGCAACCGACATAAAAGTCGTCCATTTCAGTACCAAGATAAGCTCTTGAATTGACGTTTTAATTACTGACAAAAAATATGTATGTTGCTAGGCTAGTTCCTAGGAGCTTAAGTTGAACATTAGCTCCTAGGAACTAAAAGGGATGTACTCGAGGTCATCAAGAATAATAGTAGATTGTTTTATTAGGATCAAAAGTGACACTTTGTTTGACAAGCGAATTTTGCATTTGCAAGGCGAAGCGTTTAGCGAAGCCGAGCGAAAGCAAAATTTGCGAGTCAAACAAAGTCACTTTTGATCCGAATGAAACATGCTATTTTTTTCTGCAACCGAAACAATAAACTCAAATATATATGTGAAATAACCACCAATGCCGCGCCATATGTATATGCAATGCAACCAATATTAACAAATAATCCGTGTGGTGAGAATATTCTACCTGCATTAACAGCAGGTTAATTCAATTTTCAAGGATGTTCGAATTGTAGTTTCAATATAACTACAACCGCAGAGCGACATATTTGTGTATGGACCAGGTGGTCTAATATGGCGAATACCGCGCCAGTGCCAGCTATAGGAACAAGACGTGGAAAATGTTAAGTTAGTGAGTATATCAACAATCATAATAGCGATACTGTGTTCGACTTGATTATCAAATGAAGCTAAACAATATCGTTGTTTGAGAAAAGAAAACTATTGCTTGCCGTGATTATTCAAAAACAAGTTATCCATCCCGAGAATAACGAATGAAATACAGATCAATCAAGTATTTGAATCTTGAAGGCTTCCCTGATCAAAACAAAAATACTTGACTGAGATGTTTATAATTCCAATACTTAGCTATAATAAGGTATATTTATATCTCCAGCATCGGTATGAAATGCCAAATCTGCCGAAATCGGAAACAAATCAGGTATGCGTCTCAACTCAAATAACCAACCATCACAATATCGTTTATTCTTGATGACGTCCAGTGCATCGTTTTCAGTTCCTAGGAGCCAAAGTTGAACTTTAGCTCCTAGGAACTAAAGTTCAACTTTAGCTCCTAGGAACTGAATATGTTGCCTAGCAACATACCTATTTTCTTGACAGTAATAGAAACGTCAATTTGAGAGCTGTTTCTGTTATCGAAATGGACGACTTTCGTGTCGGTTGCAGAAAAACAACATTGTTACGGTTGGTTATTTGGGTTGGGACGCATACCTAATTTGTTTCCGATTTCGGCAGATTTAGCATTTCATACCCATGCTGGAGATATGAATACACCCTATTTTAGTTAGTTATTCTTGCTTTGATCAAAAAAGCCTTCAAGATTCACATACTCGCCTGATCTGTATTTCATTTGTTATTCTCGGGATAGATAAATTGTTTTTGAATAATCACGGTCAGAAATAGTCTCAAAGAACGATATTGTTCCCCTCCACCTGATTATCACGCCAAACACAGTGGAGTATGGAGAGGAATAAATAATCGCCATCATCATTGTTGATATGCCCACTAACCTAATATTTTCCTCGTCTTGTTCCTATCCCTGGCACTGGCGCATTATTTGCCAATAGAGCACCTGGTCCATACACAAATATATCACTCTGTGGTTGTATCACAGGGAATTACAGGAGAAGAAAAGAATGGATAACTCGAGGACTTGTGAATTATGTAAACCGAAAAAACTCCCTCTCTAGTGAATGCAGGTTATAGATCCCGGAAACGCTGAGTTGAGAAATGAGTTCATCAGATACCGAAACTATGTGAAAGAATGAATTTATATTCGTAAAGCTGAATATTATTGCCAAAAATTACAAAAAACAAAAACGATCCACGAAATATTTGGCAAATAGTCAATGAAATCAAGGCAAACAAGTCTGAAAATAAAATAGAGAAAATCATTAGTACCAATAATATAATTCTCACGAAAGTAGCAGATACGGCTAACGAATTCAATGAATACTTCGCACATGTGGGAGAATCGCTTGCTGAAAAAATCAGAACCCCCAACTACACCGGGACCGGAGAATTAAAAATGTTACAACTCCTTCTATACCTAGCTCCGACATCTGAAATTGAAATAGGAACTCTAATTCTAATTGGAAACATGAGAACTGGAAAGGCTCCTGGTTGGGATGGAATATCAGCTGACATTTTGAGAGAAATAATATCCTTACCGCATTCCCAATAAATACTATTTTGAATACGGGAATATGGGATGGATTCAAAAGAGCAGTAGTTACCCCAATTCATAAAGAAAGGTGATCGAAGAAATACCTGTAACTACAGGTCCATCTGTCTCATTACTACTTTTGCTAATATATCCGAAAGAGTCCTAAAAAATCTAGACGTAATTATTATATGCCAAACTGACAGACTTTGCTTCGCTATCCATATGGTTACATTCAGATTTGCTTCGCTATCTATGGTTACATCATTGAAAATATCAACGCTGATAGGCCAATCAGAATTGAAAGACAGCTATGATGTTTTCGCGATAGGCACACGTTATCTCTGGCTTGTGATAGATCAGATTAATTGATGAGTGAACGGTCAAAGTAACTTTTTGGTAAAGTGAGTGATAAACGGTTTTTCTTGAGTTCCCTAAATGGTGAACCTCAACTTTAGTTTCATCGATTTCCAATTAACATAAAGACATCTTAATATATAACTTACAATGATGAAACTTCGTATCTAATGAGTATTCTGTGCGTTTCTTCAATGAATGACCAATTTTCCGATTATATCACCTGCTATATAGATTTTACCACTGAGTGAATCGAAAAACTGAGAGGCAAGTCACTCAAGGAAGGCACAACGGCACATGGAAGAAATAAAACCGCGGAGAACGAAGCGACGTTGCCACTCCTGAAAAACGCTAAACAACTAAAGTTTAGTACTCGGAAGAGAAAGTTTTTTTCTATCTAAATATGCTAGTACTACAGGTGAATACTACTAATTGTGACCTTCCATTTGAGGTATCACAGAAGGAGTAGTACCATTTGACACAGATCTGACGTTCTGAAATTGGAGTGTCTCGCGCTCGAGGGATTGTTCGACCCTGCACAGGAATGAAGTGGTTCTAGTTCCCCTTATGTGCCCTTATTTTCATGATATTTGTGCCTTACTGCGTGTATTCAACTTTTTTATTCTCCGATATATTCTCATTGACATTTCTCAAGCTTACACTCTGTTCATGAATGAAAAATAGCATAATTTATTAATTTATTCATTCACATAAATAGGCTATTCGACAGATAGTTTTACTCATCCAATTACAGAGTAGTACAAATAAGAACAATATGATAAATGGGTAGTTGTGGAAGTTGACAAATTTCTAGAATAAAAATGAATAAGAGTTCCGATTAGGAATCAATATAGTATAATATAACTCCCATTTCCAAAACTTGCATAGCACAAAATGAATGTAAACACAAGCTGAATGATGTTTTATTGTCGGGTTCATGATTATAGGATAAACAACTCGAAAATATGCTTCATAGTGATGATACTAAATTTCTCGAAGCATCAATTGATGAAAAAATATATACATTATTAGGAGAATATTACAAAAAGAGGAAGAACAAGAATAACAACAGAAAAATTATCGGTGAAGTCCGAACATAGTTAATTGTCTTCAATCGATTTTTGAAGCTTAGGAAAGATGTAGAAAAAATATCTAGATCAGAAATACTGTCTGTAGGTTAATCGAAATGTTTGAAGGAAAGAAATATAGATATATTGAGAAAATATCGAATTTTTACTCATCTTTGGTCACGAAACGTCCAAAGATTATTAAAAATTCGATATTTTTTCAATATATCTATATTTCTTCCCTTCAAACATTTTTCCAAATAAATCGTCACTGACACGCTTCTGGATTCTTCTTTTAGACTCTCTGATAGCAAAATTTGTTGAACTCAGTGACATTTTGGGGCAAATCATCTAATTCGTCCCACTACAAATATATTGAAATTATACGAATATTTTCATTTCATAGAAACAAGGAGAGATAATCCCAATGAATCAAGTAAAATAGGTCAGAAATATTCCCAACAACAGAATTATAAGATACGCATCAAATGAATTGTGAATTTGAAAGAGCTTTGGATTTCCACGAACAAAGGACTATTCCCAACGAAGTACTGTATGCAGTTAGAGTTGAAACTACTAAGAAGGGACGACGAATCGAGTGAATTGTTGACTATTTTATATATTCTATATATATTATATGTATTATACTAAATCATGCATATATCTAGAAATCTCCGTATAATGTCAAGTTTATAATCATTATTCTTGTTCATGATTTTCCAGAGGCTCATCCAGAGAAATTCAACTCCCGATTGAGGAATAAGATGTTCTATGGCCAAATGGGAGGCAAGGATCTGCTGAAGAGAAAATGGAAAGATCTGGCGGACTTCGTTAGTTTGGAATGTGATGGACAGAACATAACCCAAAAACTCAAGGACCTAAGAGTGCATGCAATCGTTTTTCTGAACATTCCTAGGTGAGTTCCCATACAGCATATGGACATCTGAGGAATGTCCGAATATTCTTCATGAAAGTCCATGAGAAATCCTACATAGATTTCTCACTGTCATCCAGGATGGTGACCGTAAGGTGTCCATAGGATATACTTTGGGTTATGAATAAACGGTCATTGGATATTCACAACACCTCGAAAGGATATCAATTGGACAGTCATAACATGTTCTTTATATTCTACCCTAATAGCACACAACGTCCTAGGGACGTCGTTATTTGATACAGTTCACTTCCGAATGTCCCGAACCAAAAATAAGTGTCCTTGGGATGTCCGAGCAAGGACGTTCACGGAATGTCCCAGCTGGTACATCATTTCGAATGTCCAAGGAATATAGCATCCCTTAGACATCCCACATGGTACATATTGTAGAATATCCATGCAAGGACGTCCTTGGCATGTCCCTGATGGGATATGATTTCAAACGTTCCTTCAGGGACATCCATCGGATGTCCCGAGTAGTACATATTCTGGCATGACTTTAGATCTCATATAATGTCCCTTCTAGACAACCATTGAATGTCTCTGATGGTACATTCCTTCAAATATCTCTGCACAGACGCCCTCAATATTTCCAGGATCGTATATAACCGATCAAAATGTCCCTTAGGGACATCCTCTGAATGTCCCTCAAGGATATCCGTCGAATGTCCCAATTGGTACATACATGAACTGTACTCTTCCAATGTCCTAGAAATAACGTCCTAGTCGGTACTTTCGATATGTTGTCCCTGCGAGGACGTTAACTTACACCTCGCCGACGAATGATTGCTCGTAGGCTATAAGTACTCCTCGTCAATGTCCTTCACGTAAGTCCATTGGACATCCTTGGGACACTTTTTGGGGACCTTCTACAGACCATCAACTCAACTGGATGTCCTAATCAGTTATGCAAGATCTGGTCCTAGAGAGACCCAGAAAAATTCAAATTGAAGAATAATTCGTATGCCCCTGGGACATCCTATGAACGTCCAATTGATATCCCTCAGCGTCGCTGATAGGTTATCCTATGGATATCCTAAGGATGTCCTCTGTAGTGCTTGATGAGGAATACTGTAGGATTTAGGTATTCGATAGTTGTCCCAGGGACATCAATCAAGGAAGTCCCTAGTTGGTCCTCAAGTGGGACATTTGTGCGTCCCACAGACGTCCAATGGACGTCCACGGTACCAAAATCGAACGTCCTATGGACGTCCTGAATGTCCCGACAGGACGTCTCAAGGATATCCATGGGACATAAGTTTGTTATTAGGGTATAGTGTATGTTTTTTAATATCATGATGAAAATAAATGAGCATATGATTAGAATGTGATGGAATGCAAAATTTGGGACATATTGCCAATAAGATATTGAAAGGATGAACAATTAAATGCACATAGTCGGTCGACCACAAAATTCATATGATGAAATCGAAGTGCAACTAGTTCCGGCCACAAACCATCATCAGACACAGAAATTGATTTAATGAAGTAGTACCTGAAATAGATTGTAGACACTGTTAATAGTTCAAAAGCCGGCTACAGATTTCAACTATCATCTGATAACGGAATGACATAATTATGTCTCAAGGGCTTGTAAAACCATCGAAGTTTATGGTACGGCACGTGTGCCAATCACTATCCTGAGCAAAATAATTGAAAATTGCACTTTTCTGTGCAGAAATTCGTACTCGATTTCGCGATTCGATAACGAGATAAGAACTATGCCATCCTATACCAATTGAATGGTAGATTTCGAAAACCTTCCTGTGCCATCACTCAGTCTGAGCCAAATCCACGGCACAGCGATTTATGTGCTGCTATTATTCCGGACATACTTCCGTCATGTGATAGAGAGTTGGAAAAAGGAAATCAAGTCCTGACCTCCAAGTTGGAATTTGCATTATATTGATTAAAGAGGGAGAAAGAGCCCAGTTAACACAAATTGATCCAAGAGATATAAGAGGGCATCACAATTAATTCATGCCACACATCACATCCGTGACTCGAAATGAGAGTCCCACTGAAATCCCACTGAAATCACAATGAATGCTATTTCGGATCCTCTTGGTTATTTTTATATTCACGTTATGATGCCAAATAGAACTCACAGATATTCGGCAACTCTTCATTCAAAAACAATATCACTTCTGATATTGAGAAAGTCAAACAGTGGTGCGATGCGTTTTTTCTGTGTTTCAATGTGAGTAAAACAAAAATTGTAACTTTCAGATTTGACTTCGAGGATCTGGCTTTAGGGAACCAAGCAATACTTAATAGTGAATGTAGTGGATACCTCGGGATACACATTGACCATGAATTGAAGTACGCGGAGCACATTTCAAATCTGAACAAGAAATTGTCATCAGGGTGTTTTGCTGTTCGATTAGTATGTCGTGAACTAGGTTTAGATTCAGCAAAAATTACCTATTCGGCGCTCATTGAATCACCTATTAGGTATGGTATTGCATTCTGGGGTTTTTGTAGTGCTCAGTTGATGACTTCGGTCTTTGTTCTACAAAAAAGAGCACTCCGATATATGTGTGGCGTGAAATCTAGAGACCACTGTAGGTTAGTGTTCGTGAATCATCGAGTAATGACAATAACCTGTCTTTTTATTCTGGAAACTGTTTGTTTAGTTCACAAAAAATATGAAAATGCAGTCTCTACTAACAGATACAATACAAGAACTTGTTTCCATATTCATCTTCCGATTTCAAGATCTACATTAACAAAGAATTCTTTAATATATGAAAATTTAAAGATATATAATCACTTGCCGGCTGATCTCAAAGATATATATGATGATAGACAATTCAGAAGAGCTCTGTAATTCACATTGTTACCGAGAGAGACATGGATGTGACATCTCAGGGATGTTCGTGTTCACTGAGAGGGGTGTTTTTTATTCATTATAACAGATTAATTCGGGAAATTCATAATATTTACATTTCTAATTCGATTTGAGCGAGTTTTATTGATATCGTATCTCTGCGACCAGCCCGTGTTGATCTCATACGTTGCTGGATGATGTCGCGTTGCTGCTTTCACACCGTTTTTTTCATTTCAGAAAACCTACACCAAATTGCATCTTCATACTGTTGAAACTTACATATTTATCGGAAGATCTTTCCTTGAACACACTCTATCTCTTGAACAAGAAATTTTTTTTAAAGCATGTTGCAACAAATTTCAATATTTTGGTGTTCACTATCTGTTGTTCAAAGATTGCCCATTCTGTATAATTTTTTCGTTTTGGTTTTTTGATGAGTTTTTCCCTCTTTGGTCCATGCCTTTGGATAATCTCAAACTGTTTCTTTCGAATTCTGTGTACACAAGTCCATTATTGATAATTGAAGTATCAATGGAAAAAGCGTGAAGAACTGTTTCTTTCCCTTTCCTAACATACTTTCTCCTCTTTTAGGTCGTCGTATTTTGGGAGGAGTAACCTCGATCATCTTAAGAATGTAATATTTTTTACGTTCATAGCTTTTGAATTCTCATTATTCTAAACAACACAAGTACACAACACGAATTTCGTCGCACCCCAAAATTTTGCCTCTGTTGAAATATGAATAACTTTTTCCTGCCCTGAACGATTTGAATTCGGATCACACTGTTCGCTAGCCCAGTACTTCAGCTATAATCTCGTGATTCTTTAAATATAAAACATGAGGTTCTTCACATGAAATTGCTACAGGGTGTTACCTGAAATTTGCAAAATTTTGGAAATTTCATAAGTATCCCAAATGAAGAAACACGTTTTTTCCAACTACGACAGTAGAAGCATGTAGATGATCTCATCATCTTGGGACAGTTCTCGAATTGTCTCCTTATCTCTCTCATTCACAGAGTGACTTCAAAAAATGAACTTTTTGGTTTCGCAGTCATAATGTTTGTCCTCGTCAACCGATTTTTGAAATCTATATATCTATACAGTGTGTCTCACTTCTAACGGAAACACCCCTGTATCATTCGTAATTGTTGAGTTAGGATTCTGAAATTTGCAAGAGCGGTAGATATACTGAAAATACACACTATGATCAAGTGTAGTCGTCCCCTGTGATATACACTGCTCGCCAACAGCCATGGAACCACCTACAAAAATGATATAAGGAGGCAAGATAGGTTGAAAACCACTTCGAATTCGAAATCAGGACGTCCCTTCTGTTTCCTCCTGCGAATTTCAGAACCCTACCTCAATAATAACGTGGGATACAGGAGGGCTTTCATGAGAAGTGAGACAAAATTCGCAGAAATATGAATAGTCAGTGAATTGGACGTCCTGATTTCGAATCCGAAGTGATTTTCAACCTGTTTTTTCTCCTAATAACATTTAACGGAAATTTGGGTGGTTTCATGGCTGTTGGCGATCAGTGTTTATCACTGGAGATGACTCCACTTGGTCATAGTGTTTTTCAGTATATCTCCTAACTCAACAATTACGAATCATACAGGAATGCTTCCATTAGAAGTGAGACACACTGTATAATGTTCATCTTGAGTCAATTCTGATTTCCATATCTCTTCATCTGAAGTTCCAGCTTCCAAATGAGATTTCAAAAACGGGTTGACAAGAAAAAAAGTTATGACTGCAAAACCAGAAAGTACATTTTTTGAGATCATTGTAAATAAGAGAGATAAAAAGACAATTTGAAAAATGTCCCTAGGTAATGAGATCTTCATGTCCCTGCTGTCGAAGTTGAAAAAAAAAGTTTTTGTTCATTTGGGATCCGTTTGAGAATTCCGAGATTTTTCACAGTTTCAGGTGACACCCTGTAGCGATTTCATATGAAGAGAACCTGATGTTTCAAAAAAGTACGAGATTATAGCTGAAGGACTGGGCTAGCGATAGTGTAATCCGATTTCGAATTGTTCAAAGCAGAAAAAAGTTATTCATATTTTAACAGGGACAAAATTTTAGGGTGCGACAAAATTATTGTTGCGGAGTTTATATTACTATATGAACGAATTGTAAAGAAATTACCCGATGAGAAATATTATTGGGAAATAATGAAACTTAGAAATATTTCTTAGTGAGATTTGAGATTCGCAGAACGTTGAACGATCATCAGATTTATCCAGTCCCACCATAACCTCAATTTCGATATATTGTGACTTAGTGAGTTTGTGCACTAAGCCCACGAAATATTCAATTGAAACGAATGAATTTTCGACATTTTTCAGTAAACAGATGATAATACCTTTCCTAGCAGATATTCATCTGGAACGAAATTACTTAAACACACTCAATTCAATTTTTCAGTTATGGCGGTGGTACCAAACCATGGAATAGGTCGTTGGGAGGCATCGAACCAAGTACAGAAGATGGTCTCATAGAAGTTGTTGGCCTTACTACATATCAACTTGTGAGTAAGTTAGGGCATGAGCTTTCTATCTCATGAAAATAATAGTTCATACCACAGAATATCAAATTATATCTAGATTAATATCAAAACTCAAATTAATTTCAACAACAATGGTAGATGACGGAAGAAAAACAGCTACGTATTAACAAATTCTGATTGAAGTGTTCATTTTCTTAATGCCTATCGATTTGAGATTTAGTCAGGTTGAGGCTCGACATCCACAGACCAGTGTAGGGTGGTCTTCAGCTAGCAGTCCTAAGACCGCCAGCAAATCGTAACCTGGCCCGGCATTGTATTCCCTCAGAGGCGTCTGCCTGTTGCTCATCGAAATAGTTATAGTGATTGTCGTGGAAAGAAGTATTGTTCACCCAGATACCTCATCTCCTTGATTTCCGTTTTCGCATTCATGAACCTCTCGTTCGCAGCCCCTCCTTCAAGCCGGTGGGCACGGCACGTGCATCACCCAGTGCCGCTCTGCTAAAATCACCACCTCCAAAACGATCCCGATGCAGGTGGACGGCGAAGCGTGCAAACTAGCGCCCTCCATCATCACCCTCTCGCACCTCAACAAGGCCGCCATGCTGGCCAAGCAGAAGCATGGCAAAGCGGCGCCAGCGCAGGCAACGCTGGACGATCTCGCGTTTGAAGTGTTCAAGTTGGCGATGGCCGATTACGAGCAGCATCACAACGATAAGGATCTTCTCGTTCAAGCAGGTGAGGGTTTATTGGTCCCCTCTCCTCCTCTCCTCCTCTCCTCCTCTCCTCCTCTCCTCCTCTCCTCCTCTCCTCCTCTCCTCCTCTCCTCCTCTCCTCCTCTCCTCCTCTCCTCCTCTCCTCCTCTCCTCCTCTCCTCCTCTCCTCCTCTCCTCCTCTCCTCCTCTCCTCCTCTCCTCCTCTCCTCCTCTCCTCCTCTCCTCCTCTCCTCCTCTCCTCCTCTCCTCCTCTCCTCCTCTCCTCCTCTCCTCCTCTCCTCCTCTCCTCCTCTCCTCCTCTCCTCCTCTCCTCCTCTCCTCCTCTCCTCCTCTCCTCCTCTCCTCCTCTCCTCCTCTCCTCCTCTCCTCCTCTCCTCCTCTCCTCCTCTCCTCCTCTCCTCCTCTCCTCCTCTCCTCCTCTCCTCCTCTCCTCCTCTCCTCCTCTCCTCCTCTCCTCCTCTCCTCCTCTCCTCCTCTCCTCCTCTCCTCCTCTCCTCCTCTCCTCCTCTCCTCCTCTCCTCCTCTCCTTAGACATACATCTCGAAGATGCGAAATACCAGCATCAACTCTCTCGCAAATAAATAGAGGATCATTCCAAAAGCAATATGGTGCTCAAAGAGTTATATCTGATGAAAAGAAGCAGAAATTGACTGATGAAATCATAATGGCTGGGTTTTCCACTACCTATGACATAAGGATTATTGTCGAAAGTTATTTGGATAGAAAATGCATTAGAAAGATAAGATTTCGAAATAATACCCCAGGGCGGAATGGGCTCGAAAGAGAAAAATATCATCCAAAAGATGTTTCGGTGATATTTGAAGATCGAGGTCCGAAGTATCGAAACAAATTATGAGAAATCATTTTGATGAGTTGAAAATATCCTTATACGAGATATTCCAGCAACATGATCTTCAACTTTTTATGATAAAATCAACTTTACCGATGATCCTGGCAACCAGAATCAAACCATCAACCGAAAACGTACCTGGCATGATGGTTGTGTTCTTTTATAAAATAATATCTCAGTAGGATTGTTCTAGACATGTTCCTTTACATAGTTGTATGGAAATATATTCAACTTTGAAATAGATGGTAAATGTAACCGTCTATTTCCAGTGTTAGATTATTATGAAAGACTGGTTTTCCGAATGAAATATTCTTTAAAAAAAACTGACTATTTTTTGAGCGGATGAAAGTAAAACAATTTGATGAAGCTCTTGTACCGTTGCAAACTACACATCTATTTACCACAATTCAGAATACAACGGAGAACAGTATAACTATTTCATGAATGGAGCACATGTCTCCCAACTTGCAACAACCACTATTTTTTGCGGTATATGAAATTTTTAATCTAATCAGGTACTAGTGAAATGAAGTACACTGGTATTATTTATTCCTTATTGGGTCGAAAGTCAAATTATTATTTTATCGCTACAAAACTAAAATCAAAAACTGTATACTAGTCCCTTCAAGGAGTTCATTTGCTTTTCTGTATAATATTTGATATCTTTATCTTTATATATCGAAGACTGGAACCTTTGGCACGATAATACACTACACTGTTTTACCACTAACCAAACCGATTTTTTGAACGCCTCGACAGAAGAATCCCAAACCCGTTCAATCCCAAGTATACTAAAGGACTCGATAAGCGTTTATCAGTCTGGGTCAAAGTCAAAAACAAAAAAAAATATAGCCCTCTATATAGTTTAGTAATATAAAAATCGAGATTAACATGTGAACTCGACCATGACAAACATTGAGCTTGACGGTTAGTATTTTTCACGGTTGGGTGAACATATACCTAGTTTATAAGCAGCACACTAGAATATTCAGTTTTAATCTTCTCCTGAAGATGCTAACATAATTAGCGAAACACGTGTCGAGGCGTTCAAAAAATCGGTTTGGTTAGTGGTAAAACAGTGTAGTGTATCTATATCTTTGCGGAATTTGAAACACTACTAGATTGTACTTATATACTCGATAATTGGATGAAAAACAAGAAATAAATTTTTATTCATCAATCACTTCTGTCTCAAATTAATCAATAGTCATTTTTCTTATTCTATTTACCTCACCTCACCTCAGTTATACTTCGTGAGATTTCGTTTGTTCATTCAATTCATTTGTTGATTATACTCCTTGAATATCTGTTCATACTTTGTTGCAGCTATAAACATTGGAAAAATTGAAGTCAATCCTGGGTCCGATCTGGAACAAGTGAGGGTGATGATCAACAGACTGCTAGAAGAGAACAAGGACCAGCAGATGATATCATCAGATTGGTGTTTCATAGACTGTAAGAATCTTTCATTCATATATTTTTATCTCAATCGCTTAAATAGTATACAGCGTGTACTGAGTTGAATTTATTGAAGCTACCGATAAGGGCATTCCTACAGGGGGGTGAAAGGGGTAATGACTCCCTCCCACCAGATCATTTTTAATTTTTTTTTTCAATGAAAAAAATTGTGATAATAAAATCTACAGAAAATATGCCATTATACACAGTAACTCCAGTTTATATCGATTAGGTGAGAATCTGAAAATTAGGAAAATGAGAAATAGTTGATGATTTTATGGATTAAAAATAGAAAAGTGCCATTTGGGGACGACAAATAATATTTTTTCCCCTTTGTTCCAGCTCATCATTAAAACCTTCAGATTTGACTCAAGTTAATAAGTGAAAAAGTTGTATGCGAAAACACCAAATAATTTCAGTCATACTTCTTTTCGTCTGCTCGTTTCAAATTTATAAATGAGATTTAGAAATATTGATATATACCGGGTGACACAGGAGACATGTAGCAGACTGTAGTTTTTTTATTTGGAGAGATAAAATATTGAAATTCACAGGGGGTATATATTAAATGGTAGCGCACTTTACGAACCTAACGACAATTTTTTTCAACCACCTGTTTGACCGAAAGTGACCCCAACTTTTTTTTTTAATGTCACCCTGTACATTTCTTCAGTCTATCTCATTCGCCTTGAAATTCTCTATCCAACCATGTATCACAAAGTGGCATTTATTTCTTAACTCGCTGTTGAATTGCTTTTCATTCAAAAAGAATAAGTTGGCTGTGACATGAATTCGATGATATATCGACACTTGGTAGGCTTTGAAATTTGAATATCATTATCAAACCGATATTATTCAAAATGTTTCCATATCCTGATCAATGTCTGCAGGTTGTCAATAGCTTGTTTGAGTCAACATAAAAACCTTCGGAAATAGCTCATGATATTGAGGATTCTAAGATAGGAACATATTTTTTCGAATTCAGCTACTCGTACAGAAACTATCTGTCTTTTATTTTCGCCATGTACCTATCACATGATCTTCCCATTTGGAATAATAAAACTAAAATTGTTCCTCTTATACGATGATCCACAGGGCTATCAGTTCATTTTTTTCATGATTATTTCACTTAGTAGGCGGTGTACCTACACAAAATGTTTTATGTGTTTGACATTTTCCGTCTCTATTGATAATATCCAATTTTGATCAACACACAAATGAAGAAGAAAAATTATTGATGCAATCGATTAACTGTCAAGTACTTTAAACTTCTTTTGTAGATACACCGCCTACTAAGTGAAATAATTATGAAAAAATAGACTGATAGCCCTGTGGATCATCGTATAAGAGGAACAATTTTAGTTTTATTATTCCAAATGGGGAGATCATGTGATAGGTACATGGCGAAAATAAAAGACAGATAGTTTCTGTACGAGTAGCTGAATTCGAAAGAATTTGTTCCTATCTTAGATTCCTCAATATTATATGAGTTATTTTCGAAGGTTTTCATCTTGACTCAAACAAGCTATTGACAACCTGCAGACATTGATCAGAATATCAAAACATTTTGAATAATATCGGTTTACTAATGATATTCAAATTTCAAAGCCTACCAAGTGTCGATATATCATCGAATTCATGTCACAGCCAACTTATTCTCTTTGAATAAAAAGCAATTCAACAGCGAATTAAGAAGTAAATGCCACTTTATGATACATGGTTGGATAGAGAAATTCAAGGCAAATAAGATAGACTGAAGAAATGTACAGGGTGACATTGGAAAAAAAAAGTTGGGGTCACTTCCGGTCAATCAGGTGGTTGAAAAAAATGATCGTTAAGTTCGTGAAATTTGCTACTATTTATTATATACATCCTGTGGATTCCAAAATTTCATCTCTTCAAATAAAAAAACTACAGGCTGCTACATGTCTCCTCGTGTCACCCGGTATATAGGGTGTGGTTTCGATTCTAAACCTACTCATTGATTCTCTCAAGGCCAACCCTGGAATGAAACCTTTTTACATTATGTAAATCGTCACCACTGTGGACAAGGAACATACAAACCAAATATCAACTAATTTTATATGGAGGTTCATGAGTTAAGATTTATTGCAAAAATGGGGAAAATCAATAAATCACCCTGTATCTCAGTGATAAAGAATGATAGACCCATGAAATATAGATTATTCTGAATCACTTCGGTGTCCTCCATCTACCCTTACTGTATGCGCATTCCCCAATGAATCACCCTGTATAGCAGCCATCCACCGATCCACAATCGTTGTCGCGGTAACATCTTTAATTTCTCGAAAGCAAGCTTGATCGAAAACAACTCTAGAGTTTTTGCTTGTGTTTGTATTGACCAGAAGGTCACTTCATAAATGTTGATATTTCGAAAACTATCGAATTTAGGAGTGAATTGTATTTAATAGAACTGTTTAGAACTATGAGAAGATTTCGAAAATCGAGGTGTTCCTTTCAAAGAAATGATTCAAGATGATGCTCAGCAGCCGTTTTCACACTTGATGCTGTCGTTTTTTATTCAAATACTAGATTTCCATCTTCTGTTCGAGCCCTCCAAATTTTGTCGCGACATACCAGATGGATGAAAAATAAGAAGGAAAAATCTTCAGAAGGGCACTGTATCTCGTTTTCAGCTTGTACGGCCGAAAGGTTCTTTCGCATCGACAAGGCCCAAGAGAGTCTGCACTACGTGCTGGACATCGCGGTCGAACACCTCTACATTCTCGAGTGCGAGGAGGAGACCGTACCGCCCACGCCCGAAGACGAGACCGCCAACCCTTCGCCCACGTCCAATCAGGCACCCTACAATATACCGCTGATGAAAATAAGGTGAGATATGAGGGTAATGTTGAATAGATGGTGACACCTTAGAGACGAGCCGAGACGAGCCTAGACGAGACGAGACGAGACGAGACGAGACGAGACGAGACGAGACGAGACGAGACGAGACGAGACGAGACGAGACGAGACGAGACGAGACGAGACGAGACGAGACGAGACGAGACGAGACGAGACGAGACAAGACAAGACAAGACAAGACAAGACAAGACAAGACAAGACAAGACAAGACAAGACAAGACAAGACGAGACGAGGCGGGACGAGGCGAGACGAGACGAGGCGAGACGAAACGAAAAAAGATGGGACGAGACGAGGGAAGGGCTTTCTCATATCGTTTTCTCGCATTACGTTTGAATTGGGAGGAGGAGACCGTTCCACCCACCTCCGAGAACGAGACCGCCAACCCTTTGTCCTCGTCCAATCAGCCGCCATATAATATACTGCTGATGAAATTGAGATGAGATTTGGAAATAATGTGGAAAGGATAGTGATGTCATCGAAAAGAAAGTCATTCTCTCGTCTTTTCCCGCATTAGCAAGAGAAATTTGTTCTCTCGTCTTGTCTCGTCCCGAATTATCTCCTCAGAGTCCCATCGGTTTGTTTACATCTCTCAGACACTCAATATATTGATAGAGATGCATATACGACTAGCTTCTCTTTCTTATATGTTCACTATAACTAGCTGCCTAGTTAGTGCTCTAGAGTTGAACGGAAGGATCATGCATCGACAGCATATATTTATTTATCATCTCCTCCATTGTCTGTATATGTAGTGTAGCGAGCACTGGCTGGTAATGACAGATCTTTTACAACGTTTCTCGTCCGTCTCGTGTACGAAAAGGAGTCCGTCTTGCCCAACTTCGAGGACGATACCGCTGACGAAAGTAAGGAAAGATTCGAGGATAAGGTGAGAGCTCATCTCTCGTTCCGTCTCGCATTAAGGAGAGAAATTTGTTCTCTCGTCTTGTCTCGTCTCAAATTCTCTCATCGTCTCTTGCCGTCTCGAGTAGAAAAAGGAGGCTGACTTGCTCAACCTCGAGGATATCGCTGACGAAAGTAGGGAGATTCGAGGATAAGCTGAAGTGGATTGTTATGTCGTCCAAAAGAGATGTGACGAGAGGAATGTGTTTTCTCGTCTAATCTCGCCTCGTCTGGATTTCTCTTATTTTCTCTCGTCTCGGTTCCAGTGAAAGACCGAGACCGTTCCGTCTACCTCCGAGGACGAGACCGCCAACCCTTTACCTTCGTCCAATAACGCGCCATATGATATACCGCTGATGAAAATAAGATGAGATTTGGGAATAATGTGAAATGGAGAGCTTGTCTCTCATTGACGAGAGAAATTCATAATGTCGTGTCGCTTGGCTTGTCGCAAATTTTTCTTTCGCTCGGCTTCGCTAAACGCTCCGCCTCGCAAATGCAAAATTCGCTTGTCAAACAAAGTATCACTTTTGATCCTAATAAAACAATCTACTATTGTTTCACTAGGCAGAAAGGTACAAGATTCAATGCCAGTTAAAGAGCGAGAACGAGCTGAAGAATCAGCTAAAGGTCTTTTTTGAGTTACAGTAAAAATAACGTTGTTATTATAGGATTCGTTTCATGTATTGTAGATAGTAGTGTGTGTGTTCGCATAAATTTCAATTAGCACAATACGGGAACTATGGAAATATCAATGCTTTTGAATATTATCATCATGCATTAAAATGTAGCTCATGACTTAACATAAAAAAAGAAACTCATGAATCAGACCAAGATTCAGGATTGTTTTCCAGAAATACAAGTCACTCGTTCAGTGCTATATGAAGTTATGATGAAGTAGGTATAATTTTTTTCGATGCTCCTATTTAAGAAAATTAAACGTGCACATAAATCCACTCCCACTGATGGAATATTTTCACTGTTTCATGAGTACATACGGAATACAAAGTAGGTATTTGATACTCGTGGATAACGCGGTAATTTGAGTTATCTTGGAAAATCATCTCGTGGCGTTTCTTCCTAATTAATGCCATAAAATATAGCTGTCTTGGGTAATTGGACGGCAGAAGAACATTTATTTTCTGTAGAAAAAATGAACATCAGTCTAAATTATTATGAATGTGAAAAACTTCACAAACGATTATATTTCCACAGAATTCTTCAAAACACGACGAATTTTGCTATCACAGTAGCTTCTTCAAGTGAAATAGTCGCCGTGAGTATATACAGGGTTTTGCGTTTTACTTTCAACCTCCTCATAACTATTTTATCCATTGTTCATGTGATTTGTTTCAAGGAACAGTTCTTCATAGTTTTTCATGAATTTTTTTTTTTCACATTTTGACGAAGAAAAAGGTTGCACAGCATGAGGATATCGAAAAAGATTACAGGTATGGATCTGGGTAAATTGAAAAATAGTCGCTCATTCCAAAAGCCTTCGAAACATTTAAAATTTCCCTCCAAATGGAAGTTTGGAGAATGTACGTTATTATTATAGAGTTACAGGAAAACTGAAGATACTTCTCCATAGCAACTTGATGAAAATGATTCCTATTTATGTCACCATCAGTTTAGTAATCGTTGTCGTTCTTTGTTACCCCAAGAAACATATTTGTTTATTGAAGGAATATATAAACACATGATATATACCGGGTGTCCCAGTATACCTGTTCCAATGGATTATCTCAGTCATTTCGAAAGTAACAAATTTGAAAATTTCATGATCTCCAATTCGTTCAAGGAACCTTCAACTGAAAAGAACGAAAATTGAAAGTTACTTCCGGTTTGACCGGAAGTGACTCTAACTTCTTTATTTCAAATAGCACCCTGTATATTTTCTGCAATTTTTGCTTTCTACTCAAAATTGCATTTCCAACGATGTATCACACTTTGTATTTTACATTTGATATGATGAAGAAAACGACAAATTGAAATTTGGAATCAAAATCAGTATCATATCCAATTTGTCTTGAATTGTGAAGTTATCATATCATTTTCACGGTTATTCATTCTTAAATATCGCACGCAACCATTGAGAATTATACACTGTCGAAGATACAAACAAATGTATTCAAATGTTTCCATGGCACACTAAGGTTTTCATTTAAGAATTAACTACATATTATTTCTATAATAATCATCATCTCGAATACAAAATTGTTCATGAATCATCAATTATTGAGGAACAAATCATTATGTACACAAAATATCGTTGTCTACTGCAATTCTTTCGATTTCAAATTTCAATTTTCGTTTTCTCTATCAAATCAATTTATTGTAAAATGCAAAGTGTGATACATCGTTAGAAAGGTAATTTTGAGTAGGAAGCAAAAATTGCAAAAAATATACAGGGTGCTATTTGAAATGAAGAAGTTAGAGTCACTTCCGGTCAAACCGGAAGTGACTTTCAATTTTCGTTTTCCTCAGTTGAACGAATTGGAGATCATGAAATTTTCAAATTTGTTACTTTCGAAATAACTGAGATAAATCATTGGAACAGGTATACTGGGACACCCGGTATATAAATATAACAATGAAAAAACAACAATTAATTAACGGGTTATGTCAATATGATATGATAATTAAATAAAATTATTCCAAGTATTCAAATGAGAATAAATGGCTCTGTTTATAGTGTCATGAGTATATATTTTTTCATATTGACTTCGAATCTTGTTTCATCATCAATATGTTTCAAATCATAAGGTAATGAATTATATAAAATAATTCCAATGTAGAATACTGATTGTTTGCCACTAATAGAGTTATATGGGTTTTCTATTGAATTCTACTGTCTCGTTTCAGTTGGATATATTTTTTTTTCACAAAATGAATGGAAGAACAAATCTTTATTTCATATGAAGATGATAAATTCAACAGATTTTTTGGTTTGTTAAGATTAATAGTTGGTTTCAGGTAATGTAAATTATAATTGCACTTAATTGTTTTGTAATTTCAGTAATGGTTTCAAATGTGATATACTTGTGCTTCCCCAAATTGATATTCAATATTGTAATTTTGAGTAAATCAGACAGAGATAAATATTCTTCAAATATCTAAGAGGAATGAAATTTTGAATTTTGTATAAAATGGCAGTAATTGCTTCTAGCTTTTTTCTCAGCTGATCTATATGTTCAGTCCACGATAATTGTTCATCAATATAAAGACCTAAGAATTTTCTATCATCTAAATATTTTATGGCTTTCTGGTCGAAAAATACTGTTGTCTTCGATATATTTATTTTTTAATATACATATACGTAGATTTGTCATAGTTGAGAGTCAGCTTATGAATTTGTAGCCAAGATGATATCATTTTCAAGTCAATTTTTGTATCATCAACTATATCATTTGATTCTTCAGAGGAATTGATTATTGTAGTTATCATCTACATATAATTTCAGTTTCAAAGATGATATAGAATTGATGTAAATCAAGAATAAAATTGGACCTGAAACGGAACCTTGTGATACACCACATTTGATCTCCCTTATGGAGCTACAAATATTATCGTCTTCAACATACTGCTTTGTATTTTCCAGATAATTTTCTAACCAATCAAATATTTCTCCTCTGATACCTATTGGATATAATTTACTCAGTAAAATATTAAGATTTACAGTATCGAAAGCTTTACATAAATCTAAACACAATAGCTGAATATCTGAAATTACATATATAACTGCTACCTGTGTGTCTTTCGATCGGCGACATCTATATTGAATACTGTATATTATACATATAGATCATTATTTTCAAGAAAATCAAGAATACGAATATTTTTTCATTAATTTTTGAGAGGATCGAGAGAACTGAAATCGGTCTTTAGTTATCAGGGTCATCTCTTTTTCCAGTTTTATGTATCGGTATGACTCAAGCAATCTTCATTTCATCTGATAGAACCTGAATATATTGTCACAGATTCTGAAAGTTTTCTCCAGTTTGAATACAGCCATGTATTTTGTATCATACAATGTGATTTGAATTTGTTTCGACCTTGTCTTTGCCATCATCGTCAATGTGTTTCCGCAATTCTAATTATCATCAAATTGTTCGAAAATTAGTGCATACTATAATTGCATTGTCAGGAACAAGATGTTCCAAGTTAAATCCTCTGAGGGATGTAGTTAGTTCTCATGATTACAATTCGAGTGTATTCATGAAATAAAATAATTGGAATCCCGAGACTAATCAATTTCATTGAAATATCATTAATTTCTGTTAACTATACAAAAGAACTACTTTGTACGTGATCTTTCATATCTGAATATGATCTTGAGAATATGATTTTTTCAAATGATTGTTTCCTCGGAAAATAGATAGTTTAAGACTGAATTATTTTAATTATTGTGAAGCTTTCGGTATTTCTGGATGTGACGCCATCTTTGTTACTTTCAATAGGACACCCTATATTTTTCATAACATTCTTGAATTTTTCCTGTAATTCTGATTAAAATTCATCACCATACTCCATACCCTGGATGAACGGTTTTCGAGTTATAAGAGTTTTTCTAATAATAACAATTGTAGCATATAACGAACGTAAGCATATTCATTCAAATCACAATTTGTTCCAATAAAATCACGAATACCTCAAAAAAGATTCATTCATTGTGTATTATGCAGAGTGTTACAATTTGGTTCACCCCACTCCTGTATTTTTCCTATTCCTAAGACGATTTAAGATTTTTTCCTCATGATATACCTACTACTCATAATTATCTACTTTGTAGAGCAAAGAAAAATTATCTATCACAATTTCTTAGCCTACTGCGATCACCTAAACTCAAGCAGAATCAAAGGAAACTGATTGAGCTTTGTTTTCAAGAATGTTGATAATGACAATCGATTCGGATAAGTCACAAATAGGTATTCCAGTATCAATTTTCGAAAGAATCTCTCATCAACGATTAAATTTCTGAATAATTGCATTTTTCGAGTCAGCGTGTATAATAATTGCAGAAAGGTACCACCAGACGAAGTGAGGGGAGTTGATCGAGAATACAAAATCCTGAACTTGTTAGGAATGGTTGCTGTTTTAGCTTATTGTCAAATCCATTGATGTTATTTTTTTATTGGTATTATTCAGTTTTTTAACGTAACTCATCTAACTCTGGAGCCATATGATCTGATCCTGACGACCATCATTCCTGATGGTATCGTTCAAATTCTTAATTAGTATACAAGGTGATTTGAAGAATGCAATTATTCAAAAATTGTGACGTGCATATAAAACACCTCTCATTCTGGAGATTGATATAGGAGTATTTGTGACTAGTCCAAATCGATGGTCATTACATTTTTGACAAAAATGTCTAATCTGTCTTCTCTAATTGTGCTGGAGCATTTGTGAACGCAGTAGGCTAAGAAATTGTGATTGATAATTTTTTCGCTCAACAAAGTAGATAATTTTGGGTAGTATGTTAGAGAAAAAACAATCTTAAATCGCCGTCGGAATACTGTAATACAGGGAGAGGGGTAATGTCGACCAAATAGTAACACACTAAGAATTCAAATCAGAACTATATGAAAAATTCGGAAATTTCATGAAACATTTCAGGTTGTCCTTTTCGAAAATGACAAAAAAAGACGTCACTTCCAGAAAAACCGGACGGAAGATATTTACTGTCCCTACAAATTTCTCATATTTCCTTCATCGTCCCTACAAATTTCCAGAATCATGCTACTTTCAGTTCTCCTTATACATATACAGGGTGAGTAATCTGAGTCTGGTCTAGGGCATTTTTTGACTTGACAAGAACTCGTTGTAATGGTAATTATAATGTAAGTTGTTATTAGGTCTTTATATTCATTATTGTTCATTCATATTTGTCATTCTTACCCATAATGTTTCATGCTTCAATAAATATCGTTATGTTTGAATATAAATTTGTCTACCAGCTACCCATAAACTATTAGTGCCTATTCGAATATAACCTCTCGCAAAATATTATGCCAAGCTAACTCCTTATAAATCGATATGATAGGACTAACCCTCTATTATATCGTGACATGGTGGAAACAACGCTGTTATCGTGACAATATGACATAAACATGATTTAAAAAAAAATAATGGTTCACCTGTTTGAACACGATATTCTCATCCGTTTTCGAGAAAAAGGAGATTGAACAATTCAAAGTCTCGGAAGGGGATTTCAAATATCACTTCATTCATCAATAGTGTACTTTGGACTGTCAGATAGTTTTGGCTGGGGAATTATATTTCTCATCAATCAATAAATTCTGGTGCTAGTTTATAGTCAATCGTTTTTCGATTGTAACGCCCTGTATCTTTTTCCACGGCAATATTTCATGAAGGCATATTTGGTCATTTCTCCATATTTTGATCAAAACAATCCGCCCTTAGCCCATGTCCCAATGGTTATGGCTCACCCTGTAGATCGCGTTAACTCTTGAAGATATACCTGAGTTTCCTCAAAATAGCTACCTACGTTCAAGGAAATGTTAGAAACCACATCAGATATTTCTATAACACATTAAATAATTTGATGAATGTCTATTCCTATTTATTCGTTATTTGTATTTTCTCGTTCATAGCAAGGAAGACAGTTTGGATTGCCCTAGTGAACAACTTCAATCTCCACAATCTCTGGAGAACGGTAACCAGAAATATCCCAACCCTGAAGAGAACAGCCCTACAGAAAACAAGGAGATAGCTCGGGTAACTTCTGACAGCAGCATGAAAATCAGAAGGTACTATAAACCTGCACGAATAATACATATTCTTTCGCTCGATCTCAACTACTTTTTGGTCAAGTCCTTGATTGAATACACCTGATGTTCATTATAATAATAATAATGATAGTACAGCTTGACCTTTTTAGATTGGCCCCTGAGATGCGCAAACGATAAACAGAGATGGTTAATGTGCGACAAAGATATACTAAGCCTATTCATTGGAGAGTACAATCGTACAGTACTATTTTAACCGATGTTCATTGGTCTACTGCGCATCCAAATCTCAGAGGCCAAGCTAGAACTGTCAAACTGTTCTTCATCGAACCAGAACATATGTTTCAAAGGGTTATCAACCGAAATCCTTCTACCCTGTTAGTTACATTTTTTATACAAAGTGTTTCTAAAATTGGAGCGATCCTTGAAATTGGGTGTTGAACGAGTCATAATGAGAGAATAAATCGCTGAAAAATTCTCTGAAACAGTTAAAATTTCCTGAAAATTTTTATGATTTTTCTCACCATGGTTGTGGATGCACTGGTTTGATGTGGCAACGCTGCTGCTGGCTGCATCAGCATTAACCCTAACAACACGGGATCTTGCTGGTACATCCTGCTAAGCCTACAAATGTCCCAATGTTTCAGACTTAGGTACGATATCCCAGAGATGTTTCTCTTGGGACATCCATCAGATGTTTTCATTGGATGATCTAGAAACATCCCATTTGATATTTTTTTTATAAACAATATCATGGTTCCATATTTGCTAATGATGATTGACATGATTGAACAGTTCAAACAATTGTGACATTTGAAACATTGAAAAGTTGGTAAAAAATGGAAATCAAAACTGTATTCGTACTCATATACAATACCCATACCAAAGCTGGCTAATTCCATCGATAAAAAATTGAAATAATTATACTAAATATTCCTCAATAAGATTACCAAAGTACCTGCTCAACTTCATGAACCATGTAATAAACGACAAAATTGAAATATATCTCTTCAGCATATTTATTGCTGAATTTATTTGTTATACTAGCCGGTAGATGGCGGTACAACTACGTTGCTAAGAGTTACTAACAGCCGTCGGCCCAGCGCCAACAAATATGAGCCTCAAACAACTGTTATCATCTTCCATTAGTTATTGGACCGCACCGACCTTATATATTTTCGGATTGTTACTTTATATCTGGAAATATGTCGGCCACTTTCAGGATTTCAGATTGAATATAATTCATACCGTGTCATCCATTACTGTCATCAAACAAAAAACATCCTAAAAGTTTCTTTAAGATGTTCCATATCAAGTACCCTGAATGTCTCTGGTACATCCCACAAACATTCTGATGGGATGTTTATAAGACATCGCAAATGCTGACACGGGTGTTGCCAGCAACATCCCAAAAATGTCCCAAGGAAAATAGGGATTTTCCAGAGATGTTCCTATCATCCCATATAGATGTTTCTACGACGTCTTACAGATGTTATTGTGTTATTAGGGAATTCGCCCCTACATTCGCACTCCAACAATGTTGCAAAGTTTCAAATTATTACGGAATGAAGACTATGAATAGAGTAATCTCATTTGATCACAATAAAGTTGAGCCACCCAAACATGTCTCTCAGAATGTAGTAAAGCCTCGCAAGTACGCAAAAACTACCTTCGAGAATGGCTTTATCAATTCTTTCTCGTGAAATGTCACAATGACAAACCTGCGAATGAGAAGTCACATGGCACATGCCCCTTGTTTGTATTCGAAGAAATCGTCCATTGCTTGATTACTCCAACACCGGTGACGTAACATATCTCATATAAATATCATGAGGTGGTGCTTCAGAAATTTAAACTCACGTGTTCTTAGATTCTTTCGAAAGAAGTTGCCTGTTTCTGAAATGATGAATTTATTTCATACATTTGCATCAAACTATATGTAAATAGAACATGGTATTTATTTCTGAGATCTGATGAGTATGAAGATGTTATATTAATAATCAATTGAATGCTACCCTTTAACTTATACATTTTCCGATTAACTTCTGTCAGGATGCGGAACAGAAGTGATCATTTGCAATAATGATTTTCCATTGTTCATGAAAACAAATTCGATCCCAAAACTTTCGAATCTATGTGGATATTAAGAGTTTCTCGATATATCTATATTCCTTTTCTTCGAGAAATTCTCAATACGAGGGGTCGGTGAAAATCCATTAAATAATTCTAACAGTAAAATTTTCAAACGCTGTGACAAGCTGGGGTTATTGTACTATATTACTGGGGTAATTCATATATGATTTCCACTCACTTCACTCATTTTGAAATGATATTGCAATATTCAGTTGTAGAAAGGAAGAGAGAATATCCTGAAAAATCAAGAGAAATCATAATGCCACCTCCGTGGTTAACTTTTTTATTAAATTGTTTAAATACTCAAACTTCCTAAAACATAGGTATTCCACCAAGAGTTATTTCACATGGAATCGAGAATACTGGTTTGATTCTAAAGTTTCGAAATCAAAACGTATATCAATCAAGGATTTGAAATGTGTGTTTTAATGTTTTTGAAACAATTCTGGAAGAACCATAAGTACATCATAATTCATTTGATGATTCGAATGAGAACGATGATCACTGTTCAAATTGAAGCTGGAAGATCACGATCATGATGTCAATGTGCCAGGATTTGTTTTAAGAATTTGATCGATATTTTACACACGCATGAATTTGAATCGATAACTGATTCTTCACTCACCCAGAGCGTTCTGCAACATTTCATTAACATAACTTTTCAGCATGTACTTACTCATATATGGAAAAGTAGATTAGTGTATTTCAAGATCTAACAAGGACAAATACTAAACTTTTTCCACCACTAGCACTAGAACCTATCATTATTTACTTTCATAAAGTGTCTGTTTAGTGCAAGTTTTCGTCATTTCATGAGCAACTGGTCAATATAAAGACTTATATAATCCAGTGCATAGAGACACAAAGAGGGGGTTCACCTTACAAACGGTCAGGTAGTTCTGAATTTTTGATATGTTATCTAGGATGATTATTGAGTGTTCAAAATGCAAAATGCACAATTTCCCCTCTTCGTTTTGGTGCATTTAAGCTACAAATGAGCTTCTTTCAATGTTGTAGAGGATTAAATTTCCTATGATCCTCGTTTCGAATTTTGTTTCTAGTAGTGATAGTTACGAAGATATGATTTTTGTATAAAATAAAAAAAACGCATGTTCCGGAATTTTGTCAAGTACGTTCAGCCACACTATGGCACCAATGTGATGGTGATTTTTGATGGCTACACTACAGATCATTTTCGGCAAGGGACCAAGATTGCTGAACGAGCAAGAAGGTAGAAGGCAAACTCATCATCAAACGTGGTGTTTGACAAAACCACTGTCAACACCGTACCTCAGGATAAATTCCTGGCCAATGAGGGGAACAAGGACCGATTTGTGAAGCTGCTCTGCAATGGAATACGAGCGTCAAATACAGTCACAGACCAAGCTGCCGAAGATGCTGACAGGTTGATAGTTGCCACAGCTAAATGTCTGTCCCCCTCGTACGACGCCGTCATCATTGTCGGAGAAGACATTGACCTACTCGTCCTACTGACTGGCTCAACACCTGCGGTGAACAATGTCTACCTCGAAAAACCAGCGAGAGGGAAACATTTAGACGCAATCTACTCCGCCTCCTCCTACAAGTACAACTCCAAAGGCTGTATCTTGCTCCTGAACGCAATATCGGGCAGCCACACCACATCTAAAATTTCTGGGTTCGGAAAGAATGAATTCAGACAACTTTTTAGGAGAGACCCATCAAGCGAAGAGTTTCGAGGACCCTGCTGCCAGTCCCCAAGAAATTTCAGTAGCAGGGGAGAGAATCTTGGTATCCCTATATATGGTGGCAGTAGAGAACAATCGTTGAGCGCCCTTTGCTATAGCAGATTGAAAACAAGTACCCTCAAACTCAATCTGGCTGAACTACCTCCGACCACTGACTTCAGTGCACATTTCCACTTACTGAGGACATACCACCAGGTCATTGAGTGAATGGGTAGGTTGGTAATCAATTGAAATAGTACCTGCATCTTAAGCATCGCACTGTATCATGTAAAAACTCGAAGTAGGATTATTTTGAACTCCAAATTCAAGCTTAAACTGTAAAATGGTTAGTGACTACTTTTAGATACAATATGGAGTCACAATAGCCAAAAAAACAATATGCCGCTGTTTTAACTTCCATTTTCACGCCCCATTGCATAGGGTTGAAAAAAATTGTACATGCATTCCTGTAGGTGATTAAATTCCCTTTTTTTGATACCTGTTTCCCTAGAATAGGACATAAGTGAACTCAGCGTTCTAAAGTGAGAAGTTGACAAATTTCCGGAAAATGCGATATTTACATTATTTTAAAAGGTGCATATCTCCGTAACTGTCAGTCCTAGGATCAAAATTCGAAACGTGAATTATAGGAAATTTGATCTTCTACAATACTTAATGGGACTCTTTCGTCGCTAAAATGCACCATAACGATAATATAAGCGAAAATCTGGAGAAAGTTCCTAATTTTTTCGGTTTTTTCAATATGGCAGTGGGCGCGGAGGAGGGGGAATTGTGCATTTTGCATCATAAACACTCCATAACCATTCTAGATAGCATATCAAAAATTCAGAACTACCGGACCGTTTGTAAGGTGAACCTCCTCTATTCACTGGATTAATAGCCACCTCTGATATAATTATCCCGAATTGATTGTTTTTATGCAAGATTCGCAAGAATGGCATTCGAATGATCAATAACGACTAGTCATATGCTGTCATGGTCATAGTAGCAACTGAATTCTAATCAGAATTGAGAAGTGCTCTCATGGTAACAATAGGTTCATATTTTGGTTTCACAGAACTATAGTGATTAAATATCCTGCTAGTGGTGAAAAAAAATTCAATATACACCTTGGTAGCAAAGGGTATTATTACCACTGGACCTTATACCCCTCGGCTGAAG